AAGGCCCCTGTGACCTTGACTTTTGACCTAGTGACCCCAAAATCAATAGGGGTCATCTACTAGTTTGAACAATCACTATGTGAAGTATGACAACATTGTGATGGATTCTTTACAAGATAATTAGCCGAAACCATTTTGACCTTTAAGGCCCCTCTGACCTTGACCTTTGACCTAGTGACCCCAAAATCAATAGGGTTCATCTACTAGTTATGACCAATCACTATGTGAAGTTTGACAACACTGTGATGGATTCTTCTCAAGATAATCAGCTGAAACCATTTTGACCTTTAAGGCCCCTGTGACCTTGACCTTTGACCTAGTGACCCCAAAATCAGTAGGGGTCATCTACAAGTTATGACCAATCACTATGTGAAGTATGAAGACTTTGTGATAAATAGTTTTCCAGATAATCAACGGAAACCATGTGGTCTACCGACGGACCGACAGACAGACAGACAGACCAACATTAGCAAAATTATATAACCCCTCTTCTTCGAAGGGGGCATAATACTTGAAAAAAAAAACTGAATAAACATACAAGTAATACATCAGGGTTCACTATGACACATGCTGACCAACAATTCTGTAAAATTTCATGACTCTGCATTGAATACTTTTTTGGCTTCACATAACACAAGTTGAAAATTGCAAATTTTTACTAATTATAGAGCAAAAACGAAACTGAACAAGCATTTGATAGTATTGCGGGCAATACAGTAGTCCCCTACCGGTCCCTCAAAAAGTTCTTTAATTGTCATACACTCCTGTGTATTGCCATTTATAATGAATTTGAGGATGAAGTCTGTATTTGAAAATATCGACCACAAAACATAATACAAGAGCTGTCAGTAGGACAGCATGCTCGACTATTCTAAGTGCTTGATAGTAAAAGAGCCTTGATAATGTTAAATTTTTTATGTTCACCAAAGGGCTAATCTTTTTTTTATAAATTCATGTTATAGGCCTTAGAGAGAGTCTAATTATACAGTATTGGCTTGACTATTTGGAAGGTAATGTCACAAGGGTGTTTTATTGAGTATAATAATACTAATTACCTATGAATACATAAATTTGACAGAAAAGGTACAAAGGCTTGTTATTAAGATGTTTTATCAAGTAAATCACTGCTTTATTATTATGAATGCATAAAATTGTCCCAAAAAAGGCACAAACCCTTCAGTAGTTATGGAGATAACAGCTTACAAGCAAAACTTTATCATGAATTTCTAAGTTGAAAAGGGGAAGAAAAATCAGCCTAAATGCAAGAAAGAATTATGGATCTTTGTCAGTGACCTACAATTCTGACCCTAAATGCATATGTGAAGTTTTAAATAAATATCTTTAATAGTTATTGAGATATGTAAAACTTGCATGTAAACATTAACCAAGAGACTAAGTAGAAAAGGGGATATGAATCAGCCTTAATGCAAGATAGAGTTATGGAACTTGGTCAGTGACATACAATTATGACCCTCAAATTATGACCCTAAGTACATGTGTAAAGTTTCAAGTAAATATCTTTGAAGACCTTTAACCTTTAACCAAAATTTCTTAAGTTTCAAAGGGGCAAATAATTCTGCAAATCGTGCAGACAGAGTTATGCAATTTTGCAAAATGATGAACATTGTTACTATAAAAAAAGCGTTGTAAATGTCAATTGAATATCTCAAGCAATAATTGAGATATTTGACTTAACAAAAAACTTTAACCAAAATTTCTAAGTTAAAAAGGGGCATAATTCCGTCAATATTGTAGGCAGAGTTATCCAACTTGTCAATCTGATGTACCTTCTTACTATAAATAAGTATTGTAAGTTTCAATTGAATATCTCAAGCAATAATTGAGATATTTGACTTAACAAAAAACTTTAACCAAAATTTCTAAGTTAAAAAGGGGCATAATTCCGTCAATATTGTAGGCAGAGTTATCCAACTTGTCAATCTGATGTACCTTCTTACTATAAATAAGTATTGTAAGTTTCAATTGAATATCTCAAGCAATAATTGAGATATTTGACTTAACAAAAAACTTTAACCAAAATTTCTAAGTTAAAAAGGGGCATAATTCCGTCAATATTGTAGGCAGAGTTATCCAACTTGTCAATCTGATGTACCTTATTACTATAAATAAGTATTGTAAGTTTCAATTGAATATCTCAAACAATAATTGAGATATTTGACTTAACAAAAAACTTTAACCAAAATTTCTAAGTTAAAAAGGGGCATAATTCTGTCAATATTGTAGGTAGAGTTATCCAACTTGTCAATATGATGTACCTTGTTACTATAAATAAGTATTGTAAGTTTCAATTGAATATCTCCAGCAATAATTGAGATATTTGACTTTACAAAAAACTTTAACCAACGCAGACGCCGACGCTGACGCCGACGCCGACGCCGGGGCGACTACAATAGCTCTCATATTCTTCGAATAGTCGAGCTAAAAATAAGTTTGTCTATATCACAGTAATGTGTTAAGTTTCCATGCTTAGTAAAGAAATTATGTTTATACAGCCTTGTCATATTATTACGATGTGGGATTTTAAAGTAAATCCTATAAGGAATGAAGAAGTTGGAGTGAAAATACCAGTTTCTTGAAAAAAATCTAAGTTCAAGGGGGACATAATTCTGGAAATAGTCTTGCTAGAGTATTTAACCTTCTCAAAAATGTCGAGTGATAATAAGAAACATATATATGAAGTTTGAAGTAGATACATAAGGAAATAAAGAAGTTATTTAAAAAAGACAACATTTTTCCCCTAAAAAATCTAAGTTCAAGGGAGGTAATACTGATATTTTTTGTGCTAGAGTTATAAACCTTGTCACATATGATGTGGTTGATGACCAGAAACTTATATTTAAAGTTTGAAGTAAACACCTTAAGAAATAAAGAACATATAGTGAAAAAGCTGAAAAATTTAAATCAGAAATCTTGAAATTCAGGCTATTTGTTGCCATAGCAACCAGAATTTTCAACATAGGAAGAAAAAAAAAAGATGTGCATGATCTCCAGACTGCCTTCTACCCATATTTCAAGTTTCATAAAAATATTTTCAGTACTTTTTGAGTTATCACTGGATCCAGTTTATGTGTTAAATTTGCCATATTTTCAGACAATTTGTTGCCATAGCAACCAGAATTTTCAACATAGGAAGAAAAAAAAAAGACGTGCATAATCTCCATACTGCCATCTATCCATATATCAAGTTTCATAAAAATGTTTTCAGTACTTTTTTCGTTATCGCGGGATCCAGTTTTGTGGACGGACGGACTGACGGACTGACAGACTGACAGACAGACGGACAGACAGACAGACGGACAGACGGACAGAGGGTAAACCTAAAGTCCCCTCCGGTTAAACCGGTAGGGGACTAACAAGCAAATTCGTTGAATTTATATCCCCCGCCGAGTACTGGTTATTACTAACACCACAACTGAAAACATAAGGCTTTATTTATATATTTATAATGGCATAAATAGTAATATTCTTTGAACTTGATAAATATTCAGGGCAATAACAGAGCCATAACTTTGTGTTAAATAGTAATATCTGGAAATGCCAATGAGATGTATGGATACTGCATAACTTATCCATTAATCTGAGTTATAAGTGTCTGACCTGAACAAGGCGACTGACTATATGCACATCTCCTCTTCATATCCCATAAAGTTTCTTTGAATTCCAGCCAGTAGTTACAGAGAAGTAGCACGGAAACGATTATTGCTCTGGTTGTATACTGAATAAGTTATCAAGGGCCATAACTCTAAGTTAAAATGTCTGACCCAAACAAGGCGATGATATGCCCATCTCCTCTTGGTATTGAAGGTTCCAATAAAGTTTCATTGAATTCCAGCCAGTAGTTGCAGAGAAGTAGCGCAGAATCAAATATTTTTCTATATGCATACTGCATAACTAATCAAGGGCCATAACTCTGAGTTAAAATGTCTGACCCCAACAAGGCAATAATATGCGCATCTTCTCTTGGTATTGAAGGTTCCCATAAAGTTTTGTTGAATTCCAGCCAGTAGTTGCAGAGAAGTAGAGCGGAAAAGATTTTTGTTCTATATGCATACTGCATAACAAATTAAGGGCCATAACTCTAAGTTAAAGTGTCTGACCGGAACAAGGTGACGATATGCGCATCTCCTCTTGGTATTGAAGGTTCCCATAAAGTTTCCTTGAATTCCAGCCAGTAGTTGTAGAGAAGTAGCGCGGAAACGATTTTTATTCTATATGCATACTGCATAACCAATCAAGGGCCATAACTCAGGGTCTGACTGGAACAAGCCGACAATATGCACATCTCCTCTTGATATTGATGATTCCCATAAAGTTTCGTTGAATTCCAGCCAGTAGTTGCAGAGAACTAGTCCGGAAACGAAATTTGGACGGATGGACGGCCATCCAGCCGAAATGGAATAAGGGGCCATTTCTTTTGTTATTTTCTATTGTTTAATAAAGGACCAATGGCCCCTTACTCCATTGTTACCGAATGATTCTATTGTTCTCTTTTGTTCTGTTTACAGTTAGATGGCCCCCTATCCGGACAGACGGACTTTCAAAAATTTTGGATTTAGGGGCTATTTTCTTTGTTATTTTCTTTGTTTTCTTAAAGGCTACTAGCCCATAAACCCTTTGATCACGGAATGAACCTCTTGTTCTCTTTTGTTCTCTTTACTGTTATATAGCCCCTAAACCCAAAATGTTTGCTCGAACGGACAGACGGACGGACTGACAACGCCAAATCTATATCCCCCTCCCGATTCTATGGGCTGAGGATAATTAATCCATATGGGAAACCACAGCTGCACAACTTCATATGCTGATCAACATTCCTGTAATGTGTGTTGACTCCAGCTCAAGCACTTTTACAGCTATACATGACACAGCATTTTGAAATGGATGCACCAAAAAGGGCAAATCTAAATCCCTAAACCACAGAGTTCCAGGGACATATCTTCATTTCAATATAACATAAATGACAAAAGTATTATACTTACTCCAAAGTTTTTCTTCCTTTTCAAATGCCTGAAAAAAAAGTCATCATATTAATTGACTAAATGAATTGACATACAAAAGGACCATGATTCATTGCTAGAAAAGGCGTTAATTTCTTTACTGCAGATGTTAATTACTAGGTAACAGTCAAGGCCATACTAGGTCAAAATTTGATTTCAACTAGAACTCCGCGATTTGGATGTGTCGCCTAAATGTGAACAGTATATCTGTCACTTAGTCATTTTCTTCTTAAATATAGGTTATTTATAACCACCACTCTTACAATGTGCATGTACCTTGAACTTTAGTGGCATTTGAACTGATTGTAACAAGGATTACTAAAACTGTTATATTATCAAAAATAACAAGATATGTTTGTAAAACATGTATGCCCCCTATCGGCAGCCAATTAGTCATGTGATCAGGTTATTATGCATGACTTCTGACCCAGTGAACAAACAATTAATGAGGGTTATCAAGTATCTACTGGTCATGACTAGTCACAAGGTAATAATTATTGTGACCCCATAGGTTGTGTGCAGCAATTTAAGTTATTACAAATCTTACCAAATAATATATGCATAAATTTTATGAATCATGTAGGCCTCATTAATGACAGCCAAGTTGTTATATTACATAAGACCTTCAAATGTCTATACCAAAAGCATTTTTAGTTTAATATAAAAATATCAATACCGTTTTTGCCTACAAGGTCAATGTGACCTTGACCTTTGACCCCTTGACCCAAAATCAATAGGGGTCCAGTGTTTTTTTTTCACCAAAATATTCGGCGAAATTCGGCCCCATTCCCCCCTCAAAATAGTATGTTTTTTTCCCCTCTAAAAGCCGAAATTTCCCCCTGATATGGCAGCCAAAATTTGCCTGCAATGGATACCATTGTATTTGCGTATAACTGCCAAAAAATGTTTTATATTAAGAGTGTAAGACTAACTGTTAAGCAAAGTTGTTTACAAATTGTTCCCAGGTATGTAAGGGGAGCTACTCCTGGCATCCCAACAAGTATTTTATGTGACTCTTTAAATTCTGCTGTCAAAAATTTAGATCCGTATATTAAGAAAAAGCGATGTATTTTAAACTTGTGTTGCAAGAGTTGCTCCCCTTTTCTACTCACTGGAAAGAAAACAATGTCAAACAAAAGTAAATCTTACTTACAGTGGTAAGTGATGTATTAAAATATGCATTGGATTCCTTTTTGTGTCTTCATTTGTGAAGAAATAAATTCCCCCTCCTTTTGCATTTTACCTCCTCCAAACGGCACCGACCCCCTTCCCAAAAAAGTGAAAATAAAAAACACTGGGGTCATCTGCTTGTCATGACCAATCACCATGCCAAGTTTGAAGTTCCTAGGCCGAAGCGTTCTTTAGTTATTGATCAGAAACCATTTTTACTAACAAGGTCAATGTGACCTTGACCTTTCACCCCTTGACCCAAAAATCGATAGGGGTCATCAAGTTTGAAGTTCCTAGGCCTATGCGTTCTTTAGTTATTGATCAGAAACCGTTTCTACTTACAAGGTCAATGTGACCTTGACCTTTGACCCCTTGACCCAAAACTCAATAGGGGTCATCTGCTGGTCACGACCAATCATCATACAAAGTTTGAAGTTCCTTGGCCTAAGGGTTCTTAAGTTATTAATCAATGTGACCTTGACCTTTGACCGCAATATCAATAGGTCATCTGCTGGTCATGACAAATCACCATACCAAGTTTGAAGTTCCTTGGCCTAAGGGTTCTTTAGTTATTGATCAGAAACCGTTTCTACTTACAAGGTCAATGTGACCTTGACCTTTGACCCCTTGACCCAAAACTCAATAGGGGTCATCTGCTGGTCACGACCAATCACCATACCAAGTTTGAAGTTCCTTGGCCTAAGGGTTCTTAAGTTATTAATCTGAAACCGTTTTTACCTACAAGGTCAATGTAACCTTGACCTTTGACCCCTTAACCACAAAATCAATAGGGGTCACCTGCTGGTCATGACCAATCACCATACCAAGTCCTAGACCTAAGGGTTCTTTAGTTATTGATAGGAAACCGTTTTTACTATGAGGTCAATGTGACCTTGACCTTTGACCCCTTGACCCCAAAATCAATAGGGGTCATCTACTGATCATGAGCAATCACCATATCAAGTTTGAAGTCCCTCGGCCTAAGGGTTCTTTAGTTATTGATCGGAAACCATTTTTACCTACAAGGTCAATGTGACCTTGACCTTTGACCCCTTAACCCCAAAATCAATTGGGGTCATGTACTGATCATGACCAATCACCATACCAAGTTTGAAGTTCCTAGGCCTTAATGTTCTTTAGTTATTGATCGGAAACGGATTTTGCTTACAAGGTCAATGTGACCTTGACCTTTGACCCCTTGACCCCAAAATCAATAGGGGTCATCTACTGGTCATGACCAATCACCATACCACGATTGAAGTTCCTAGGCCTAAGGGTTCTTTAGTTATCACTTGGAAACCATTTGGTCTACGGAACGACGGACCAACAAGTGCAAAGCAATATACCCCCTCTTCTTCGAAGTGGGGGCATAAATATACCATGGAAAAGTTTTACACTGACAGATCAAATTGAGGACTGTGTGATGGATTCTTAATCACTGCACTTCTGGTCAATGAAAAAATTTGGAGTCAATCAAACGTACAGTGACAGAGTAAATATGCTCTAGACAAGCCTATTAAGTAAGAAAATTATCAAAGAGCAATCACTCAAAAATCATGAAGTGCAGAGTACAAGTTCCTGTGCACTGCACCTTTTCTCAACAAGATCTATCATCCTATGAAGTTTCAAGGCCATAGCTTTTATAGTTTAGGTGAATTGGCCGGGACAAAAATAAAATAGGAAAGTTAACGAAGGGCAACAACTCAAAAATCAGTACCAGGTTTTTGATAATTGCACTTCATGTCAACGAGATATATCATCACATAAAGTTTCAAGTCCATAGCTTTTATAGTTTATGAGAAAGACAATTTTTGCCAAATTTTTTTGCCAAGACAAAAATAAAGTATAACTAGAAATGTGTCCATGGGACACGGATGCCCCCACACGCCACTGTTCTGTCAATCTTATGACTCTAGGTCAAATATTTTTTGGACTACATATGCCACAAGTTGAAAACTAAAAATCAACAAAGGGCCATAATTCTGTTAAATTTGGTTGCAGCAAAAAATCCTTCCTTTACTACCATCTACACATTAAGGTTGTTCATCCCTGGAAGTTTAAGCAAAATCTGCCATCCAGTTTAAGAGGAGTTGCGTTCACAAAATTTCTACATAGTATATAGTGAAAAAATCAACAAAGGGTCATAATTCTGTTAAATTTGGTCGCAGCAAAAATTCCTTCCTTTACTACCATCTACACATTAAGGTTGTTCATCCCTCGAAGTTTAAGCAAAATCTGCCATCCGGTTTAAGAGGAGTTGCATTCACAAAATTTCTAAATAGTATATAGTGAAAAAATCAACAAAGGGCCATAATTCTGTTAAATTTAGTCGCAGCAACAATTCCTTCCTTTACTATCATCTTACACATTAAGGTTGTTCATCCCTGGAAGTTTAAGCAAAATCTGCCATCCGGTTTAAGAGGAGTTGCGTTCACAAGATTTCGGGACGTACGGACAGACGGACGGACGTAGGGACACTCGGACGGACAAGTGCAACGCTATATGCTCCCACTCTGTGGGGGGCATTAAAATTAACAAAGATCAATAACTAAACAAGATGGCCATAATGGCCCTAGATCACTCCTCTGACCCATCAACCACATCCAAGCAATGTCTTAGACAAGCATGATGACCTGACCAAGTTTGAGTCAACAAGAGTTGTCACAGGAGACAGCGAAGCTCGACTAAAAAAATACTGGACGCAGTAAGGAGGACAAAACTATGAAAGAAAAATCAATTATGTATATTATGTATTAAGTAAAAAATAACATTTGTTAACATGAATTCCTAGATCCAGGGGAATAATTCTAGAAATAGTCACGCTAGAGTTATGAACCTTGTCACACAACATGTGTGTAATGATAAGAAATATATATTTGAAGTTTGAAGTAGATACCTTAAAAAGTAAAGAAGTCATAATATTTCTTAAAGAAAATCCTTAGTTCAAAGAGAGATAAATCTGTAAATATTGCTTCAAGAGTTATGAACATTGACACATAACATGTAATTGATGATAAGGAATAAGTATTTGAAGTTTGAGGTTACTAAGATACCTTTAAAACTAAAAAAGTTATAGTAAAAAATAACATTTTTCTAATAAAAAAATCTAAGTTTATGGGGAGATAATTCTTGCAATATTGGTGCTAGAGTTATGAACCTTGTCACAGTAGATGTGGATGATGATAAGGTACATATATTTGAAGTATGAGTAGATCCCTTAGGAAATAAAGAAGTAACAGTAAAAACTAGTATTTTTTTAGGAAAATTCTAAGTTCAAGGGGAGATAAATCTGAAAATATTGGTGCTAGAGTTATGAACCTTGTCACATAAGATGTGGTTGATGATAAGGAACATATATTTGAAGTTGATAACTTAAGAAATGACAAAGTTATAGAGAAAAATATTTTACTGCACCAAAACTTTAATCTGAAATCTGGACGTGGATGCCGACGCGGGGGTGAGTAGGACAGCTCTCCATATACTTTGTATAGTCAAGCTAAAAATGTGACCTCTAGTGTGTTAAAAAGGTTTTTCATATTTGGGCAGTGTAACCTAGCTTTTGACCCCAGGTGACCCATATTCAAACTTGACCAAGAAATCATCAAAACAAATTTGCAGACCAATTTCAAGAATATTTGGATAACAACAGTAGCCAGTAGAGAGTTCACAATATTTTTTTATTTTTAGCTCTTGTGACCTAGTTTTTCATCAGATACCCATATTTGAACTCCTCCAAGCAATTAACTAGACAAGCATCTTGACCAAGTTTGATGAAAATTGAGTCAGAATGTTACCATTAGAGTATTACCACTGTTTTCCATATTTGGCCAGTGTGACCTAGTTTTTGACCCCAAATGATCCATAATCAAACTTGACTTAGAAATCATCAAAACAACACTCATGATCAATTTCCAAGATATTTGGATCAAAACTGCAGCCACTAGAGTGTTAAAAAGATTTTTCTATTTTTAGCTCCTGTGACCTAACTTTTTACCGTAGATGACCCATACTCGAACTTGACATAGAAATCATCAAAACAACCTTCCTTACAAATTTCCAAAACATTTGGATCAAAACTGCAGCCACTAGAGTGTTAACAAGCTTTTTCTATTTATAGCTCTGTGACCTAGTTTTTGACCGAAGATGACCCATCTTGAATCTTGACCTAAAAATCATCAAAACAACCTTCCTGACAAATTTCCAGAATATTTTTATCAAAACTGCAGCCAATAGAGCGTAACCAAGATTTTCCTATTTTTAGCTCCTGTGACCTAGTTTTTGACCAGAGATGACCCATATTCGAACTTCACCTATAAATCATCAAAACAAATTTCCAGAATATTTGGATCAAAACTTCAGCCACTAGAGTGTTAACAAGCTTTTTCTATTTTTAGCTCCCGTGACCAATTTTTTCACCCGAGATGACCCATCTTCGAACTTGACCTGTATTTTATTTAGACAAACTTTCACACAAAGTTTGATGATGATCCAATGAAAACTGTGACTGCTAGAGTGTTAACAACCCAATTGTTGATGACAAACGACGCACAACGCAGGACGACAGACATAGCCCCATCACGACCACTTCGTGGTCAGGTGAGCTAAAAATCAAGAAGTGCAGAGTAACACTTCTTGTGCACTGCACTTTGGGTCATTAAAAGAAGCATGCATACCAAGTTTTGAGTAAATCTGACTTATAGTGACCGAGTTATGCTCTGGACAAGCCTTAGGGGATGCTGCAAACGCCACAGACAAAAGTTGCCTTTATATGTCGCCTTTTTCAAGGCGACACAAGAACAAAGGTGCACAAGTAATCTTAGTTAGAAGACCCTTGTGAAACAAGGCCAGTCCCTTGACAATGCCCTCAAATTTTCAAAGTGCTGAAGAGTTGAAAAAAAAAAAAAAAAAAAAAAAAAAAACATAGAAAAGGGGACATAATTCTGCAAGAATGCAAAGAAAAATACCTGCTCTTAATAAGGCAACTAAAAGATTTTTGCACTTTGTGCTCAGGTGAGCTTAAATCAATATATTTTTTTATTAAAAGTAGACTACCTTTAAACATTCTATGTCTTTTCCATATATAATAAACATAACACAACGTAGTGCAGATGGATGATGGTCTCTGAAAAACTTCTTTGCTGCCTTGAACATTGTAGCAGCAACTTGGCTCTCATTATATCCAAGTTTCCCTGTGCCAATGGCTGGTAAAGCAATTGATGAGTACTGTCTTGAATCTGCGTGTACTAAACAACTGTGGACAAACTCTTCAAGTTTCTGTAAAATGAAAAGTAAAAAGATACTTTTTGTAATAGATTTTTTATGTCTCCCATCATTTTGTTTAGTATGCTGCACACAAATACTAAGTACAGAAAATAGAAAAAGGCGACAACTTGAAACTAAAAACAAAACTGGTGTAAGGAATGCATTTCCCTTCAATGATACCTTTCCACCTATAAATTTCAAATTGAAATCCCCAATACTTTCTTTGTCATGCTCTGAACCAAAAATTGAACAGGGAAATAACTTCAAGATTATGCAAAAGATTTATAATAATGGTTCTTAGTAACTGAACCCTTGAAAACATCTATCCACATTACTAACTTATGAAGTTTCAAGTTGATACCTCCAAGGATTATGCCCCAGACAAGAAGAATGAACAAGAAATGTGTCCATAGGAGTCACTGATGTATGTTTAAACATACGAGTATATGCATTTGCATGAAGTTTCACTGCTATTGTTTTATCAGTATCACAGGTGTGTGTGTGTGTGTGTGGCGGGGGGTAATCACGTGACTATGTAAAGTAATACAAACAAGTAATATGGCGACTTCTGAGCCTTGGTAAGTTTATCATTTTCATGAATTTAGGTGAGAAACGTTTCCTTAAATCAAACTAGAAATGGTCTATCATATGCATGGTAACTTTCTTCAAATATCAATATCAAGTGCATTATCCTACGTTTTATGGTGTTTGAATTGTGTGAAAATTTCAAATTCAGCTTTAGTAATCCACACAAGGCGGTATAATTTTGTACCAAAATGAATGAAAATAAGCTTTCTGCTTTAACTAAAAATACAAAACCAAACATAATATTGACATCTTTTATCATAGAAGTCCATATAAAATCTTGTTGAAAGATATGAAGAGTAATAGTAATAGTTAGTAAGTAAAACAAGCAATTTCTGGATAGTAAGTCACACAAAAACAAAATAGTAAATTTCACACATGGTTTCTTATATTTATATATACATTTGAAGGCAATAAATGTGTATTTGTAAAGAGTTAAAACAACTTTTATTCATGATCAAATATTATCTTTTGTTCTAAATAGTGGATGTTTTATCAGCTGCTTTTGTAAACATACATAATTATCAGTACATTTTTCTGGACCTCATTGTGCGAATTATGCGACACATTCCTTAGATTTCTTTCCTTCGTTTCTATGTTTACACTACAAACAATTTATCTTAGTACATAGCTAAGAAGTCGCCATTACTGGTTTGTATTAATCTATATTAATATACAAAGTCACGTGATCCTCCCTCAGTTAATATTGAAGTTAATGACAATACATGAAAACTTCTCCAAAAGGTTAACCAACACTGACCAACAAGTGTGTCATGCAATACCTTAACTTATTTTTGGAACTAGAAATGTGTCATCATACCACGGAAGCCCCCGCATGCAGCCAAAATTTCAGATGTTATAATATTAAGTTCCAAATTTGTTTGCACAAATTATTTTTTTCATTTTAAGTTCAAAGCCCTTAAAACTTTTCAATGTTAACACAAACCATTTCCGCACTGAAATTATTCAGTCCTAACCTTTTGAAAATAGCATATTTCATATTTGTAGCCAAAATAATGGCTAAATACAATTCCACAAAAGTATGAGTGCTGAAACTTAAAGTTCGAAATTTTTCCAACATTCAAGACAGATAAGTTTGTCCAAAATCATTGAACCTAGACCAAATTCAAACTTAAACTGCTTATTCCTAAGATGTATCTATATCATTTTCAAAGTGAAAGTGACATAACTCTGCCAAAAAATCATCAAACCATGACCAAATTCCAACTTGACCTGCCCATTCCTTTGACATATCCATATGTCAAATTTGAGTTGAATATGTAACACTGTTGGGTAGATCATGAACAGAAACTGTAAATTTCATATTATTTTCAAAGTGAAAGGGGCTTTACTCTGCCAAAAATCATTGAACCATGACCAAATTCGAACTTGGCCTGGGCATTCCAAAAACATATCCATATGTCAAATTTGAGTTGAATGTGTTGTACTGGTGGGGAGATCATAAATAAACAGAAACTGAAAATTTCATATTATTTTCAAAGTGAAATAACTCTGCCAAAAATCATTGAACCATGACCAAATTTGAACTTGACCTGCACATTCCTTTGACATATCCATATGTCAAGTTTGAGTTGAATGTGTTGTACAGTTGGGGAAATAATGAACGGAAACTGAAAATTTCATATTATTTTCAAAGTGAAAGGGGCATAACTCTTCCAAAATTCATCAAACCATGACCAAATTTGAACTTGACCTGTATTTTATCATGACATATCCATATGTCAAATTTGAGTTGAATGTGTTTTATCTTTGGGGAGATAATGAACGGAAACTGAAAATTTCATATTATTTTCAAATTAAAAGGGGCATAACTCTGCCAAAAATCATCGAACCATAACCAAATTCGAACTTGACCTGTATTTTCTCACGACATATCCATACGTCAAATTTGAGTTGAATATGTGCAACCCTTACTAAGATAATGAACGGAAACTGATGATGACGGAATGACAGAATGACGCAAGGACGGAATGACGGAAGGACGGAACAGGGTAACACTATATGCCCCGGCCATTACATGGCGGGGGCAAAAAAAATGGAGCTTAAAATAAAACTAGAAGGGTTTTTGTCACAAAACATATGTCTCCCAAAACTATGTATGGTCACTCATGTGAAGTTTCATTGAAATCCCACCTGTAGCTTGACCTGTGAAAGCCATAAAAGAATTTTCTATTTATAGCTCTGCCAAACATAATGTGCAGAAAAGCAGAACATGCTGGTGACGTGCACAACTAGGGATGGTACTGATCACCCCTGTAAAATTTGGTTGAAGTCCCACCAGTAGTTTGACCTGTAAAGGCTGGACAAGATTTTTCTATTTTTAGCTCTGGCGGCCATTTTGTGCAGCGCAATGGAACATGCCGGTGATGTGCACAACAAGGGATGGTACTGATCACTACTGTAAAGTTTGGTTGAAATTCCATAAGTAGTTTGACCTGTGAAGGGCAGACAAGCTTTAAGAATGCGGAGCACATACAACAGACGGAGGGATGTTTGGGTTGGTACGGACGGACAGACAGCGAAGGCAAAAACAATATGTCTCCCAAAAATTTTGGGAGACATAATAATGTGAATTAATCAAAATGGAAGGAATAAGAAGTAATAATGCTTATACAACGTTTTTCAGTTTTAGATCATTTTTCACAATAAGAATAATTTTTCTGGTAAACAATTAAGTGAATGAATGATGGTCTAGACATACATCAAAATGTAATAGCTCTATAAATCATTTCTAAGCCCATCATGTCAAAAAATCTCAGTGGAATCCTTATAAGTGCTTACCTGTAACTTTTTTGCATCATTATTATATTCTTCTAAAGCTCCATGTAGGATGACTTCAGCATTTTCCAGCTTAAAAGCTTCTGTTTCTAAGATTTCTCCATAGTTTATACCATTAGGTCTTTTCTTGTTAACAACGTTTTGTAACTCTGGCCCTGCACTTTTTAATATTGTACTTGACACTGCACCTGAGTTTAGTTTAAGGTCATCACGTGTAGTGTTAACAATCACATCAACCTAACAATATAAAATATAGTTAAAAAATCATAGTTTTCAAGATAATTTCATTCATGTAGGTAAGACAAGAAACACATCATTTTTATCAGTCTTTAACCTTTGTGAAAAAATGATTTCACAAACAGCAGTCAAAAACATTGTATTTGTCCTAATCAAACAGTTATCACTGAACATTAGATGTAGAGTGGGTTAGGATATTTCCAAACAGAGTCCCTAATCCTAATATTTTAAATTGCATATTATTTTGTTGTAATATACGTTTGCTGGTCCGTTGTTGTAAAAAGGCAATATTAATCAATATCATTCACCATTAAAACTGATTTGCATTTAAAAGTTAGAGTCAAAAGAGTTTAAAACTGTTGAAGCTAAAAAAAATGTTGTGTTGATGTAAATTGAATGCGTACTCTAACTTTCTGAACAACTAGTACCTCCGTATGTCAAAGAGATTTTCAAATACACATTTGTTAATTTTCCGTGTTTGTGCCATATACATGTACATGTATATTTCATATGTATGTACATATAAAGGCCTACATGTTACACATTATAATAATCATTTTGTGAAATAAAATTGGAAAAAAATCCAATGTTATAATTTGATTTGATGATCACTTAACCCTAAGTTTCAAAATTTTGCCCTATTTTTCCTGAAGGGAGAAGTCACTTTCCCCTAAATTTTCAGTCTGAGTACTGCATTAAAAAGAAGTGCAAAAGATCATGAACAAAGGATACAGTATTGTAGATAAAGCAGGTGGTTTTGGAGACAAAACTTGTAACAGAACTAAATTATGCATTTTTATTTAATGCACAATTGTTATGAATGGAGACTTACTGCAAAGTCAACAATTCCTCCTTTTCTGACTTTAACAGCAAAATCATCCCTGTATAGATCTGAAATATAAAACAGTTGTTACTTATCTTTGACTATGAATACCAAAATTTATTATTATTATGTAACCTTGCTTTGTTTCATTCTATATGAACCAATCATATACATTTACATGGATATAATAAACTTTTTTGTAAATTTTCTTGTCAAATGAATTTAAAATGATAATCATCATGTCTCCCTTTTTCATTGTACGTGGAACTTTCTGGCTAATGTCCAGATTTTTTAATATCGAAAATGTCTCTTAACATATTGATTGGATTATTTTTATTATTTATCCTGTTATCTTATTTATTATAGGATCTTTTATATTAAACTGTTGGCTATTATTATGTTCCAATAATGTAGGCATCATGATTTTAACTGAAATTTTGATAGGATACTTACCCTTGTTTATTGGCTTCACTGTCTCACACTTTGTTTTAAATGCATCATGACAATATTTAAAGCAGCAATCAAAAGCATCTTTGTCCCAGCAACAAAGGACTATGTCTTTCCTTGGACCCTTCGATTTTTCTGCCCACTGCTTTAGAGAGTACAGTATGGGCTTGACATACTTGCACCTTGACCATTCATTTATTGGGGATGATTTTATACAAACTGATATGCAGGCTTCATCAGAAAGTTTTGAGTCAAAATATTTTTCCATTTGATCAATTAGAGTCTTTCCTTCCATCTTCTTATATTTTGGAATTGGTACAGCAATTTTCTTCACACTTTGTGAAAAATCTGGAAAAGTATGGTAAAGAAGCAATTATCATAGTATTGCAAGCAATCCATAAGTCCCCTACCGGTAAGAACCCCAGCAACATTCTGATTTCAATTTTACCAGTGAATGAATGACATGAATGAACTTAAATCTTTTGAATTCTAAGTTTGTCTATTTCACAGTAATGTGTTAAGTTTCCCTGCCTAGTAAGGAAATTATGTTTATACAACCTTGTCATATTATTACAATGTGGGATTTTAAAGTAAATCCTATAAGGAATGAGGAAGTTGGAGTAAAAAATACCAATTTCTCAAAAAAAATCTAAGTTCAAGGGGGACATAATTCTAGAAATAGTCTTGCTAGAGTATTTAACCTTCTCAAAAATGTTGAGTGATAATAAGAAACATATATATGAAGTTTGAAGTAGATACATTAGGAAATAAAGAAGTTATTTAAAAAAGACAAGATTTTTTTTTCATAAAAAGTTCAAGGGAGGTAATACTGATCATTTTTGTGCTAGAGTTGTAAACCTTGTCACTTATGATGTGGTTGATGACCAGAAACTTATACCGGTATTTAAAGTTTGAAGTATTAACACCTTAAGAAATAAAGAACTTATAGTGAAGCTGAAAAATTTAAATCAGAAATCTTGAAATTAAGGCTATTTGTTGCCAAAGCAACCAGAATTTTCAGCATAGGAAGATAAAGGAAAAAGATGTGCATAATCTCCAGACTGCCATCTACCCATATTTCAAGTTTCATAAAAATATTTTCAGTATTTTTTGAGTTATCACTGGATCCAGTTTATGTGTTAAATTTGCCATATTTTCAGACTATTTGTTGGCAATTAGCAACCAGAATTTTCAACATAAGCAGAAAAGAAAAAGATGTGCATAATCTCCATACTGCCATCTATCAAGTTTCATAAAAATATTTTCAGTACTTTTTGCCTTATCGCGGGATCCAGTTTTGTGGACGGACGGACTGACAGACTTGGCACAAATGTTGACTAGACCATAGCCTCTGTAACAGCATTCTCAATCGTAAATTTCCTGTTACCATGGCAGCAGGGGGACGTCTCAAAATTACCAAAAACCACTATTTTGCATTGTTTTTCTTCCATCAAAACTGATTTCAAAAATCTGCAACTTCTCAATGAATTGAGATAGAGTAAGAGGCTTTTCAGCCTGGGTTACAAGTTACCCTAAGATCGACCTGAGGCCATTTTTAGCCTGTCACATGTCCAAAATTTTCTTGGCAATGAGGGGAACAATCGCCCCCTTCAAACCCCCCAAACAGAAGGGGGCACATCCCCCTTCTGACAACCCCCTGATGTAACATTAGGATGGGGGGCGGCGCTGAAAAAGTGGTCACTTTTTTTAACAACATTTCTCCAACGAAAAACAGTGTTGGGGGCCTAAATATGGCATTTTTTCGCTGTTTGAGGCCTCAAAAAGGGGGGGGGGACAAAACATGTCTATATAAGGGAAAAGGTTAATTATAGAATAGAAAGCATTTATAATAAAAAGAACTGTCGGATGACAGTAAGGCTCGACTATTCAGAAAAGTTGTCACAAGGGAGAAAAATCAGCCTGAATGCAAGATAGAATTATGGATCTTGGTCAGTGACCTACAATTATGACCCTAAATGCATATGTGAAGTTTTAAATAAATATCTTTGATAGTTATTGAGATATGTAAAACTTGCATGCAAACATTAAGCATGAGGCGAGATTAATCAGCCTAAATGCAAGATAGAGCTATGGAACTTGGTCAGTAACATACAATTATGACCCTTCATGCATATATGAAATTTCAAATCAAAATCTGTGATAGTTATTAAGATATGTAAAACTTACATGTAAACATTAACCAAGAGACTAAGTACATGTACAAAAGGGGGAGATAAATCAGCCTGAATACATGACATAGATATGAGTGCTTTTTAGTGATCATTATTTATGACCACAAATATACATACGAAGTTTCAAGTGAGTACCTTTAACAGTTTCAGAGATATGCAAAACTTGCATGTTAAACTTGACCAAGAAAAGGAGATTTTTGTTAGTACAAAAGACAGCATCATAAATTCAGTCAAAATACATGACAGAGTAAAGAATATTGAGATGTGACCTTCAATTATGACCCTTAGTACATGTGTAAAGTTTCAAGTAAATTTCTTTGATAGTTTTTAAGACCTTCAACCTTAAACCAAAATTTCTAAGTTTCAAAGGGGCATAATTATGCAAATATTGCAGGCAGAGTTATACAACTTTGCAAACTGATGTACATATTATTGTTACTATAAACTAGAACTTCGCAAGTCAGATGTGTCGCCTTGTGAACAATATAGTTTAGGAGAAATGGCCAGGACAAAAATGAAATATGAAAATTAACAAAGGGCAATAACTCAGAAAATAAGATGTGCATAGCAGCAGTTTCTGTGCACTGCACTTCTTATCAATAAGATCTATCATCCTATGAAGTTTCAAGTCCATAGCTTTCATGATTTATGAGAAATGGCCCGGACAAAAATAAAGTAAGAAAATTAATAAAGGGTAATAACCTCAAAATAAGAAGTGCAGAGTACCAGTTCTTGTACACTGCACTTTTTCTTAATAAGATCTATCATTCTATGAAGTTTAAAGACCATAACTTTTATACTTTAGGAGAAATGACCTGGACAAAAATAAAGTATGAAAAATAACAAAGGGCAATAACTCAAAAAATAAGAAATGCAGTGCAGCAGTTTCTGTGCACTGCACTTCTTATCAATAAGATCTATCATCCTATGAAGTTTCAAGTCTATAGCTTTTATAATTCATGAGAAATGACCTGGACAAAAATAAAGTAAGAAAATTAATAAAGGGTGATTACTCAAAAATAAGAAGTGCAGAGTACCTGTAGTTCTTGTACACTACACTTTTTCTTAATGATATCTATCATCCTATGAAGTTTAAAGACCATAGCTGAGAAATGGCCTGGACAAAAATAAAGTATGAAAATTAACAAAGGGCAATAACTCAAAAAATAAGAAATGAGATCATCCTGAAAAACAGAGTTATAAATATTATCACATAAAACAAAGGTGTTGATAACAAACATATTTTTGAAGTCGGAGGAAACCCCTGAAGAAAATAAAAAAATAACAAAAATTCTAAGTTTAACAGTAAGATAAAAAAAAATATTGACGCTCAAGTGAGTAACCCTTGTCATATTATTATTTATTCTAATACGACTCTCTATTCAACATAGAAGTAGTAACCCTTGTGATATTATTATTTATTCTAATTAGTAATTACGACTCTCTATTCAACATAGAAGTAGTAACCCTTGTCATATTATTATTTATTCTAATATGACTCTCTATTCAACATAGAAGTACCGAAAGAATGTGTTATGCACAGATCCCTGATCTGTCAGATTAGTGGATACATTAAGAATTTTACCTCAACATATTTGTTTACAAAGGGGCACATGTCCATGTTTGTGGTTAAATTTATTGTTATTCAAATTAAAGGTCTGAATAGGGATCTATCAATTTTGCGATAGCATCAATGTTTACATTCTATATAAAGACATGTGACATAACCATTAACAAGAGCTGTCAGAAGGACAGCGCGCTCGACTTTTTTAGTGCTTGCCTATAAAACAAAACTTTGACAGTTAAGGGCACACAAGACTTTAACTAGGAATTTCTAAGTACAAATCAAGAAACATTTTCACAGAGTTATCTTCTCTTGCTTACAGATAGGTCTCATGATGGCACATAAGAACTCCAACTTCCAAAGTAATATCTCAAATGGTTAAGTCAACAAGTGGACAAGAATGAAATCTTAACTGAGTTTCTAAGTCAAAAAGGGCCCATAATTCAAATAAAATCCTTAACAGAAATTACCTTCTCCTGCCCATGTTTTGGGACCATGATGGTAAAAACAAGTATTCCAACTTTCAAATTAATATCTCAAACAGTTCAGTCAAAAAGTGGACTGGTACTAAAAAACTTAACCAAGATTCTAAGTCGATAAAAGGCCTTAATTTTTAAAACAAATCCTTGACAGAGTTACCTTCTCTTGCGTACAGATGGGGGTAATGATGTGAAATAGCATTAAAAGTTTCAAAGCAATATCTCAAAGGTTAAGGCAATAAGTGGATTTTACCCATATTCAATGTATTTTCTAAGTCAAAAAGGGGCATAATTCTGTCAAAAACCTTGACAGAGTTATGTCCTCTTGTCTGTTGATGAAGGTCGTGATGGTAAACAAGTATGGTCAGTTTCAAAGCAATACCTCCAATGGTTTTGAAATAAAGTGAGGTGGTACAAAAAACTTAACCAAGCTCAATACACTTTCTAAGTCAAAAAAGGGCCATAATTCTGTCAAAAACCTTGACAGAGTTATGTACTCTTGTCTGTAGATGGAGGTTATGATGGTGAACAAGTATGGTAAGTTTCAAAGCCATACTTGTAATACTTCTGAAATAAAGTAGGGTGGTACGAAAAACTTAACCAAGGTGTGACGCCAACGCTAACGCCGACGCCGGGGCGAGTAGGATAGCTCCCCTTTTCATAGAAAAGTCGAGCTAAAAATGTGACGCAATGAAAAGTTTAAGGTAACAAATCAGGTGCTACTAAACTGGATATCAGGTACGGCAGCATTATATTTTTTAATGTCATGTTAGAATCAAAATATTACATATTTACATATTTCATTCCGGGGTGGGTGGGGCGTGGGAGTTAAGGGGGGGGGATAATTTTCAAAATTATTCATGCTAGAGTTATAAATCTTGTCCAAAATGATGTGGGTGATAATAACAAATACTTGTAGTTTGGAGAAGATACCTTAGAAAAGGAGAAATTATAGTAAATAAGAATGCATTTGTGAAAAAATGCTATGCCACCCCATTAATATAACAGAAGTAGATTTTTTTTGTTACTATACAATTTAACTTTGTCATAATGCAGTAGTGTCTAGTGAATTTAGGGGTCAAGGCCATATTTCAGCATGTTAAATCATTAGACACAAGTGCAGATGTGTCTAATGTTTAGATACAAAGGCCATTATAGTGCAATAATTGATTCAAAAATAAAATATTTTTTTATTGACAAAAAAGTAGGTATTAAGTGTATAACATAGCTGTATTAAAACAGTAACTTTTTCTTAAATACCATCTTTTCAATTAAGCATTACCAATTTCTAAAAACATAAGCATTATTATAAACATGGTATGAATCATAATGTCCTTATAATATGCTCAAATTGTTTCATTTAATATCTCTACAAAGCTCACAACTAACAATCTTGCTAAAGTTCATGACCTGAATCATTTCATAAACATCTCTGAAAAGTTTGACCTTTAGACTTACTCCCAGCTACTGAATAATTTATATAAAATGTGTGTGTATAACATGTGTTACACAATCAAATGTAAGTTGTTACCTTTCACACAAAAGATTTTTAAGTTTTTACTATAAGTACATAATGAAAATCAATGACCCTGGGGCGGGGCCAATTTTTACCTAAGGGCTATAATTGAACAATCTTGGTAGAGGTCTTCTACACAATGTTTCATGACAAATATCTAACCTCTAGCCTTTGTCAATTCCGAAAGAGACACGTTTTTCAATTTTTATTACCGGTATATACACATAAAAAACCTCTGACCCATGGGGCCAATTTTGACACTAGAGGCAAAATTTGAACAACTTTGGTAGAAGACGTATAGATCATCTGATTATATCATCATACACAAAAACTCAAAGCTCTAAGCCTTGTACCTTCAGACAAAAACATGGGTGAAAGTTAGAAATTTTAAAAATCCTGAAAAATCCTGAATTTAGCAGCTTTTCTATAGTTCTACATAGGAAATAGAAGGCTTTCAGGAGACTGAAAATCCTGAACTTCAGGAATAATCCTGAAAACTTTCACCCATGCAAAAAGATTTTTAAAGATTTTACTACATGCACATAATGAAAATCAATAAGCCCCCCCCCCCCCCCTCCCCAGGCCATGGCCAATTTTGACCAAAGGGCTATCTTTTGAACAATCTTGGTAGAGGTCCACTATCACAATGTTTCATGCCAAATATCTTACCTCTTGCCTTTGTAAATTCAAGGAAGAAGATTTTTTTTATAGATTTTACTATATACATATTTGGAAAATCTATGACCCCCCAAGGGGGGGCCAATTTTGACACTAGAGGCAAAATTTAAACAACTTTTGTAGAGGACCTATAGTCATAATAGATGATATCATATACTAAATATCAAAAGTCAAAAGTCAAAGCCTAATGTACCTTCAGACAAGAATTTTTCAAAAGTTTTTACTATATGTACATAGTGAAAATCAATGACCCCTGGGGCGGGGTCAATTTTGATCCCAGGGCTATAATTTGAACAATTTTGATAGAGGTCTACCAGACAATGCCTTATGCAAAGTACCTATAAGCTCTAGGCCGTGTGGGTCTTTACAAGAAGATTTTTTTTGCCATGGCAACCAGATTTCTACATGGAATCAAATTCTTTGAACAATTTTGGAACAATCCTGCAACCAAGTTTGGTTGAAATTGGACAAGTGGTTTTTTGAAGTTCACATTATAATCTATATAACACACACACACACACATACGCGCGCACAAACACATACAAGCACGCATGCACATACAAACACACAGGTGAAATGCTATATGCCAACGCATTGCAAATGCTGCAGTGGCATAAAAATAACATCTTTTAACAGAAATTCTAAGTTCATGAATGTTGTCAGACAGATGATGAATTTTTAATCAAAATGATCTGCATACTGCCATCTTCACATATTTAAAGTTTCATAAAAATTATTTGAGATCTTTTTAGTTATCACAATAATTATATTGCTATATTTGCCATATTTTAGTCTTATTGACATACAATGAAGCAACTAGAGTTTTCAACATAAGAAAAAGAAAAGACATGTATAATTTTCATACTACCTTCTATCCATATTTCAAGTTTCACAAAAATATTTCTATTGCTTTTTTGAGATATCACAGACAAATGGACTGACTGACTGACTGACTGAAACAAGGCAAAACTAAAGTTCCTTCCTATTTAATCAGAAGAGGACTTATAAATTATTTAAATGCAAGATTTACCAGATTTTGAATTTTCATCCACAGGTACAAAAACCAAATCTGCACTGGACAGGTCTGACAATTTCTCTGCTAGTGTTACAGTGCATGTTTTTAAACACCACCTAGTATATAGACAATCTTGTAGGTCATCTTTCAGTATGGGTCCTAAAACTGTAGCTGTCTGGTAGTTGCCTGGAGTTGTATCTTTATTTTCATCAATTTTTATATGCCCATCATAATTCTCTTTGGTTTTATGTAGTATTTCAGATACCTTTGTTCTATCCATTTCCTTGCTTACATGAATATCAACATAATGTGTAGTGTACTCCTTTTTCATCTTCTTTAACTCATCATCAAACTTTGAGAAATTTGATACCTCTCCTCTATAAAAAATTCCTTTTTCCACCAGTCTGTATTGTATCTGTTTTTTGTCTGACAAATCTTTCAAGACTCCCTTCTCTTCAATCAGATTCAAAAACCTACGATCACATTCAAGAAAACAATCAGTCTCAGACATGTTTTGTTTGTTTTTACTCTTTATCATAGCTTCTATTGTTCCCTTAAGTTCTTGAACATATTTCTCTAAACCTTTCACAATGATTTTGTCTTCATCAACTTGTACAACTGCATACTTTGATTTATTCCAATCTGGGATTAACTGATTTATCCCTGTATCATGAAGCAGTGTTTTACGCAAACAGTATTTTCGCCTTTTTTCACCAATCTCTCCTTTTAATCAGTGGTACCTTCTTTGCCTTATGCATTCTGCCTTTGCTTTTGTTGGGATTAGTAGAATATAACCCAAAACCCTTTTGCCCATTTTCCTCGTTTATATCCAAACAGTTTATGTCCTGTTTTGCGTTTTCATATTTCACCACGAAACATTTCAAGAACAACATCTTCTGGTTGTGAAAACAAATCTAGTTCTGGGATTTTTTTCATTTCTTCACTGCAACAGCAATATTCTCCCACAATATTTTTCTCAAACCATTTCATTGCTTCCAATACTTTCTCTTTATTTCCAGAGAAAACTACCTTTACTACATCTTCATCATCATCAGGCTCCCATTCAACTTGTACATTTGGGTATTTATCTTCAAATTGCTTTTTCCAATCAGTGTTTTTCAGAATTCTGTGAAGTATGTAAGGTAAATCACATGTTTTAGAAATATTGCCTTTGTTAGCAAACAAAAACTTTTTAAATGCTTTTGAAACATCCTGATCAACTTTCATTGACAAAGAGGAACCATATGCCACATGCATTTTACCTTTGTAGCGGCGAACATAAATCTCCTTTAATTTACCCAATTTAGAACTTAATAATTCTTTTTCAGCCTTTTCAATGTCAACTCCAAGAGATGGCCATCCATTGACAACAATATTTTCAGTATGTCTGAAGATGAAATCCATAACTGTTTCTATACAATACCTTCTCTCATATTTTTGTCCTTGGTAAATATGAAGGATTCCACTTTTAACTGATATGTCTATCTGTTTTTCTTTCTTTAAATCATTAGCTACATTTGTAAAGCATTTTTCATGATTCAATAGATAGTGATATTTCATATGCTTCTCAAAAGATAATGGTACTGGTCTTAGAGTATCTCCACTGAATTTAACTCTCACATGTAACTGTTCAGAATCTAAAAATAGAAATTTTTACATGTAAAACTAGTACTATCGCTGAATGCGATTCACACCCCCACCAACGTCCTTGACAGAAGACAACTTGGAAAGGTGGTTAAGGGAATAACTTTAGTGGCACAAATACATAAAAAGAAATTATCTCTGGTGAAAAAAAGACTAATTTGTACATGTAATAGGTAAAAATATTTTTATCAAATCATGTTTTCCAACATTACAAATAACCTTCATTTTTCCCATGTACTAAACATTTTTATAAGTCAATTTTTTGACCTTCAAGTGTGGCCTTTGACCTTAAGCTGGACAAGGGTAAGATGGATCTGCCACATTGCCCAGGGGGTGAACAATTGAGTAAAGTTTTGAAGAATCCTTCCATTACTATAGAATTTTAAGAGCGGACACGACATATTGTTTCTGTATTGATTGTATGTAAATTTAAAAGACTTAAAAAGGGCATAAACTTTGTCAAAATGCAATACAAGTATCAAATTGACCTGCATATCTTATTTGTGACACCCATATATCTTTTTAAGTTTTCATAAGCAAAACCTTTTCTAGTTTCAAAATATTCAACTAACATGTGAAAATTTTTAAGAACATTTTCTAAGTCAATTTTTGACCTTCAAGTCTGACCTTGACCTTTAGCCGACACAAAGGTGAACATTGATTCTGTACATAACCTTGTTGAGGTGAACATTTGAGTAAAGTTTGAAGAAAATGCTTCCATTAGTATAGGATTAGTAGAGTGATCACAACATATTTTCTAATATTTGATTGTATGTAAATTTAAGACCTAAAAAGGGGCATAACTTTGTTAAAACACAATACAGAGTTATGAAACTTGACCAGCATATCTTAATTCAATTAAGATTAATAATTGTTACACTTCATATATATTTTAAGTTTCAAGCAAATACCTTTTCTAAAAGTTACAGAAATATTCAAATTACATGTTAAAATTCAAAAATATTTTCTAAGTCAATTTTTGACCTTCAAGTGTGACCTTGACCTTAAGCCGGCAAAAGGGCGACATTGGTTCTGCACATTACCTTGTTGAGGTGAACATTTGAGCCAAAATTGAAAAAAATCTTTCAATAAGTGTAGGACTTAAAAAGTGTACACGACATATAGTGTAATATTTAATTGTTTGATATTTCAATTGTGACCTTGACCTTGAGCTGACACATGGGCAACATGGGTTCTGCACATCCCCTTGTTGAGGTGAACATTTGAGCCAAGTTTAAAGAAAATCCTTCAATTAGTGTAGGACTTACAGAGCGGACACGACATTCTTTGTAATATTTGATTGTTTGATATTTGACCTTTAATTGTGACCTTGACCTTGAGCTGACACATGGGCAACATGGGTTCTGCACATCCCCTTGTTGAGGTTAACATTTGAGCAAAGTTTGAAGAAAATCTTTCAATTAGTGTAGGACTTATAGAGCGGACATGACATACTGTCTAATATTTGATTGTTTGATATTTGACATTCAATGGTGACCTTGACCTTGAACTGACACATGGTCAACATGGGTTCTGCACATCCCCTTGTTGAGGTGAACATTTGAGCCAAGTTTGAAGAAAATCTTTCAATTAGTGTAGGACTTACAGAGCGGACACAACATGCTGTCCTATTTTTTATTGTGTGTGATATTTGACCTTCAATTGCGACCTTGACCTTGAGCTGACCCATGGGCAACATGGGTTCTGCACATCCCCTTGTTGAGGTGAACATTTGAGCCAAGTTTAAAGAAAATCCTTCAATTAGTGTAGGACTTACAGAGCGGACACGACATTCTGTGTAATATTTGATTGTTTGATATTTGACCTTCAATTGTGACCTTGACCTTGAGCTGACACATGGGCAACATGAGTTCTGCACATCCCCTTGTTGAAGTAAACATTTGAGCAAAATTTGAAGAAAATCTTTCAATTAGTGTAGAACTTACAGAGCGGACACGACATACTGTGTAATATTTTATTGTTTGATATTTGACCTCCAATAGTGACCTTGACCTTGAGCTGAAACATGGGCAACATAGGTTCTGCACATCCCTTTGTTGAGGTGAACATTTGAGCCATGTTTGCAGAAAATCTTTCAATTAGTGTAGGACTTACAGAGCGGACACAACATGCTGTCTAATATTTTATTGTGTTTGATATTTGACCTTCAATTGTGGACCTTTACCTTAGAGCTGACACATGGGCAACATGGGTTCTGCACATCCCTTGTTGAGGTGAACATTTGAGCCAAGTTTAAAGAAATCCTTCAATTAGTGTAGGATGTACAGAGTGGACACGACATTCTGTGTGTATATTTGATTGTTTTGATATTTGACATTCAATGGTGACCTTGACCTTGAGCTGACACATGGGCAACATGAGTTCTGCACATCCCCTTGTTGGGGTTAACATTATTTTGAGCAAAGTTTGAAGAAAATCTTTCAATAAGTGTAGAACTTACAGAGCGGACACGACATATTGTGTAATATTTTATTGTTTGATATTTGACCTCCAATTGTGACCTTGACCTTGAGCTGATACATGGGCAACATAGGTTCTGCACATCCCTTTGTTGAGGTGAACATTTGAGCCAAGTTTGAAGAAAATCCTTCATTTGGTATAGGAGTTATAGAGCAGACACGAAAATGGAGACGAACGGACAGACGGAATGACCGACCGACACGACAAAGCGAATCCATTATAGCCCCCCCCCACATTTTGTGGTGGGGGTATAATAACCCTACATACTTGAACATTCTAAATGTAAAACAAAACATATTTTCAAAACAATTGATTACTTACAATTATAAAGTTGAAACAAGAATTTGTAACAGAGTTACCAACGTCCCCTGCCTCGGGGAAGTTTTATATGAAGCATAAAATTGTGCTATTTCAAAAGATTGAGGTATGGATTTCAGGACTTTCAGTCCAAAATTATGATCAATGATAGATCTGCAAATGCAACAATTAATTTATTAAAGAAATACTAGTAAATTGAAACACAGAATTTAAAATTCTATCATGTTAACCTTTGACCTTGGAGGTAGGGGTGCAGGTTGTGCATGACATATCGTCTTATTAATATTACTAGTTGTGCTAAGTATTTCAAAATCCCTTTAACTATGTAGAAGTTATAGATCAGACACAAAATATACCCTATAACAGACTATGTCAATCTTTGACCTTTAAGTGTGACCTTGGAGGTAGGGACCCACGTTTTGCACCTGACATATCATCTTATTATTGTGATTATTTGTGCAAAGTATTTTTAAAATCCCAGGTTGTGGACTGGACACAAAATATACCCTAAAACAGACTATGTTAACTTTTGACCTCTAAGTATGAGTATGACCTTGAACTTGAAGGTAGGGATGCAGGTATTGTGCAAGACACATTGTCTTATTGTAGTGACTATTTGTGGCAAGTATTTACAAAATCCTTTGATCTATGAAAAAGTTATGGACAGGACACAAAATATACCCTGTGAAAGACTATCTTAATCTTTGACCTCCAAGTCTGACCTTGACCTTGAAGATAGGTGACCGTTTGTTGCGCATGACACATCATCACATTATTGTGAACAATTGTGGCAAGTATTTACAAAATCCCTTTAAAGATAAGAAAGTTATGGACCGGACACGTCATATACCATCAAATAGACAATGATGACCTTAAATGAGCAAGTAAGACCTTGACCCTGGAGGTAGGGGCTTATTACAACAAACATTTGTGCCAAGTTATTTCAGATTCCTTTGACAAATGAAAAAGTTATGGACCGGACACAAAATATACACTGTAATAGACTATGTTATCATTTGACCTCCAAGTGTGACCTTGACCTTGGAGGTAGGTGACCGGTTTTGGGCATGACACATCGTCTCATTATTGTGAACAATTGCGGCAAGTATTTACAAAATCCCTTCAAAGATAAGAAAGTTATGGACCGGACACGACATATACCATCAAATAGGCAATGTTGACCTTGAATGAGCAAGTGCGACCTTGACCTTGGAAGTAGGGGTCTGGTTGTTGCGAATGACACATTGTCTAATAATAACAAACATTTGTGCCAAGTTATTTCAGATTCCTTTGATAAATGACAAAGTTATGGACCAGACACGAAAGTGTGACGGACAGACAGACAGACGGACGGAGCCTATTACTATATCCCCCTTTTTTCTTGGAAAAGGCGGGGGACAATAAGTTTTTGATTTGTCATATTTGACAAAAAATATCCCTCTACAGATTTGTTTATTAGATTAAACCAACATAAAACATTAATAATTTTATATGCCATCACTACAAGGATGGAATCAAAGTGTGTGTAGTGTTAGTACCGAAACATATCAGCAAAGCTTGCAATATCATTACAAATGTCTTAAAGTCCTATGAAATAATTCAACAACAAGAGACGCGGGATGGCCATGAAGTCTGACTGAAGGTAACAAAAGGGATGAGATACTTTAACTTACTGCAGTACTGTCTTTCAAATATAATTCAAGCACATATTACAAGTTCTTGTACAAAGTAAAACTATTTTACTATGTCCAAAATATCAAATACTATGAAAATTTTCAAGTATAATTAAGTAAAATTTTCGAGTATAATTAAGTATTTCTATCTGATGTAGGTTTTCAATTGTGCAGCAAAATATCTGCAGTGAAGTAACAGAGTAATAATATCTGTCACATGTTACGGTTCGGACCAGAATATCTGTCCCGAGGTGACCTGCCCAGTTGGCAGTAACTCTGCAAGCCTCGTTACCGCCCATGGGCGGGTTACTCAGAGGGACTCATATAGATCCGAACTGCAAACATGTCAGATATTTTTTCTTGCATATTCTACAATATTCCATTATAATTTAAATTCTTTATCTTTATTTTCAACAGAAATTTATATCATTACATATGGCACCCCCCATGCCAGATGAAATTTCCGGCATGGTTAAAACACACGGAAAGCCAGTCTGCTATGCAAGAATGTTACCTCTTACAAGCATTTACCAGTTGTTTTATCTTTCATTTGACCACAACATTTAGATGTTAGATATAAGCTTTGCATACATTGTTTTATCACAGAAAAAAATCTCTGCACAAATGTATTACCAAATGAAAGCTTCTTGAGAAAACAATTGTTTAGTCAAGCATGAATCTGACATTTCACCTCTGTGAAAAGTTACTTACAAATTTCAACAATTTCATACTATAAATTATAAATTATCAGAATTATAAATTATCAGAAAAAGAAATCTAACAATACCTGCTTGTCCAGATGCTCCATGTTGGCCTGCAATTTGTTGGTCATCTGTTTGTGGTAAGCTCCCAGCAGAATCTGCATCAGAATCTAAACAAGACAAAGATGTTTATTTTGAATAATAATATCTAATAATAATACCTGAAAACATTGTGATAATTTTAGCACTTCATTTTACACTTGTTGTATGTTCTTTTGTATAAAATATATTTTTACTATCACTTTTCTCTGAAAGAAAAAACAATGAGGAAAGAATGACAATGAAAAATATTTACAGTTTTTCTGACTTTTTAATGTGAAGTCAAACTGTATATCTATGTACATTAAAGCTGCACACCTCAGGATTCATGTGTTTTTTTATGAAAACTAACACTTTCTTCTAATGAATAAATATATTGTAAATTATACATTTTTTTCTAATGAATAAATATATTGTAAATTATACAAAGTAAATGATTTAACCTTGGTTAAATTGTCATATCATTCATAACTTACTATTAACTTCTATTACTATTATTACAGAGGATTGTAAACTTTGGCAACATAAATAGTAATTTTATCACATTTTGCTATGAATATTAGTTTCACCTGGATTGTAAATATTTAACAAATTTTGTAAATGACAGTTACAGTATTCTTAAATTTGAATTTTTTAGGATATACTTTCTAATTTTTGTCACTTTAAAAATACAGCTGATATAAAATTAACTTACAAGTAAACCATACAAATTGTATCTTAACCTAGTGATTGACTAAACTGTGCACAGTGATTTCAGTTAACAATTCAGTCTTTCTCCTCGCCCTCACATTATTGAATTAGGATTTCTCGCTTCTTAGAATAAAACTAGAACTGTGTCCAAAAGACACGGATGCCCCGACTAACAACATATATATGGTATATAATGAAAAAATCAACAAAGGGCCATTGTTGTTCATCCCTGGAAATTTAAGCAAAATCTGCCATCTGGTTAAACAGGAGTTGCGTTCACAAAATTTCTATATGGTATATAGTGAAAAAATCAACAAAGGGCCATAATTCTGTTAAATTTGGTTGCAGCAAAAATTCCTTCCTTTACTACCATCTACACATTAAGGTTGTTCATCCCTGGAATTTAAGCAAAATCTGCCATCCGGTTTAAGAGGAGTTGCGGGACGTACAGACAGATGTACGGACGGACAGACGGAAGGACGAGCAAACATTTTGGGTTTATAATAGTAAAGAGAACAAAAGAGAACAATAGGTTCATTCCGTGATCAAAGGGTTAAGGGGCTAGTAGCCCTTAAGAAAACAAAGAAAATAACAAAGAAAATAGCCCCTAAAGCCAAAATGTTGGAACGGACAGACCTATGGACGGACGGACAAGTGCAGCGCTATAATTTTATGCACCCCACTTTTTGGGGGCATAAATATCATCTATGGCTTTTGAATTTGTGCATCTAAACTCAGTACATATGTACATTTTTTCTGATATAATATAATATTTCAGTTAATTTATCTTTGCTTATTCATTAAATGAAAGTAAACCAGCTTATTAAACTTGCCATTTAGTTTAAGCCGAGATTTAAATGATGCTGTAAGTTCATCAACATCAGGGTCTTCATTGCTTGAGTGAGGATTGCTTTCATCATCGCTTTGACTTGAATCTCCTTGATCTTTACCACACAGATTTACCATTGGCTTTCCTTTTACAATCTTTGAAGAACTTTGTTGTACAGTTTGTACTGAAGCTGTATGCAGGCCATGCCCCTTTTCAGGTATCAGCAGGTTTTTACTTGCAGGTACAGCTGCTGATCTGTTCTTTTTCAGTTGACAAACACCAGTTGAAGGGTTTAGTGTTAATGAGTGGGAATCATCATTAAATTTTCCATCCTCATTGCCACAAGATACTGTCTTAGATGATCTCTGTGTTTCTTTTAGAGTAAGTGAGTGTCCAAATTTAGTCTTTGACTTAGAAGTAGTTAAACTGTTTTGTTTTGCCATCTGTTCATTCGACCCCACAGTATCATCCTGACCTGCTATATTAACATAGTCATGAGTTGCATTTTCATTTACATGGCTTGTGTCTTTTAATCGGACATATTCACCAATTTCATCAGGTCTACTAGAAGAGTTGAAAATTGGTGAACTGTTTCCTCTAGCTCCTCCAATATCTTCATTCTCTGTGTCATCTATAACGATAATTTATGTAAAAAAGTATAGGATGGACACAACTTTTTTTTTTGATTTGATTATATCCTAACAAAGTTCATAAAAGAGGAATTATTAGTTCACTTAGAAATCATGCTATGTTTATGAGACTTTGACAGTGACCAACATAATTATGATGAATGAAGACATGTTTCATGTTAGTATAAGGACATTTGATCCCACAGAAATTTGCCCTCCATTTCAAAGATGCAATAATGGACAATATACATACTAGTGGAAAATTCACCTCGGACATTAGCTCCCAAATACATGTAGATATAATATGTATGGCAAAGAAACGCACTGATTTCAAAAGTGTTAAACAAAGCACGTGATATGAAAATTTAGTCAACAATTAATGCATTATTATCTTAAAATAAACTTAATAATGCATCTTACATAAAATCATAATTAGCAAATGTCAGAATCATAATTATCTTAACTTGGGGAGCAAAGGTTCAAGGATACATTTTAAGACTGGAGGAGGGGGTCAAATGTCATAGGGCCAATGTCTATGTTACATTAAATTTCCACCAATTGTGGATAAAGCACCTGCATGAAAAACCTATACCATATTTAATTATTCTATATAATTCTTTTATGTAAAGATAAAAATATATAATTATAACAAGGGTGACTTTATTACAAAATATGCCCATCACAAAAGCTTTAGGAGGAGCTGTGGGTGATAAGAAGTGTGGCAATCAAGTTGGTCCTTTACATATTTTTGTATTATATCTCAAATTCTACCTCTTTATATCTCAAATTCTACCTCTATGTGTGACCTTGATCTTGGCTACAAGGACCTGAATTTTATTTACCACACTCAGCCTCACAATGATAAAACTTTGTGATAAGTTATACTAAAATACCTCAATGCATAAAGAACTTTTGCTCCGGACAAGTGCTTTTCAGAGATCTGTGACCCTAACCTTTGACCTAGACACCTTATTTTTGCTCAGAACACTATGTCTCAGGGCAGTGAACAATTCTATAAAGTAATATTAAACCTCCTCCATGCATGTAGGAGATAAGGTCTGGAATATATCTAGTTATTCAATCATCTGTTGAGACCTTGCAATTAATAACCTACATTACATTTGTCACAGCCATAGTCATTACTGTTACCTTTTTTGCTTATGATAATTAAATGGTCCCTATACACATCTTCATATTTTTTTCTGAACTTTGACCTCAATGAGTGATACTCCACCTAAAAATGGTGGGCATTAAGTGTGCAAAATTATATTAAAATCCCAATATGAAAGTTTTGCTCGGTGTCTTTGCCCTATGACCTGGAGCCTGCTCTCAGGCTGGTCAACATTTCTATGAAGTATTGTAAAAACTCTTCCATGCATGTAGGAGATATGCCCAAGACAAAATATGGATAATTCATCATCTTATGTGACCTTGACCTTGCATATATTGACCTTAATTACATGTTTCAAAGCCATAATATTATAATGACCATTTGTGTTACAGTCCCTCAATATATGATGACTTCATGGTCCCTATACACATCTTCATATTTTTATTTAAAATTTGACCTTGAAAGAAAGAAAGAAAGAAAGAAAGAAAGAAAAAGAAAGAAACCAACTAACCAACCAATCAAGCCATCAATTAAACAATAGATTTTCATCACTTACTATATTAACACAAGTCAGTAAAAATTCTGAAAACTGGGCACTACCTGCAGCCTTGACCAAAAGTCTGGTTTTCAGAGGATTCCAATTTTTAGGTTTTATACATTTATTGGTAATTATGATGTGAACATTTGAACATTGTCTTTGTTTAAAACCTTTTGTTTTTACTTTTCAACTTTTTTGTCTTAACCTTTTCCCTTATATAAGCGTGTTTCGACGGCTTTTTGCCCCCCCCCCCCCTTTTTGAGGCCTCAAACAGTGAAAAAATGTCCTATTTAGACCCCAAACACTGTTTTTCGTTTGAGAAATGTTGTTAAAAAAAGTGACCATTTTTTCGGCGCCGTCCCCCATCCAAATAATACATCAGGGGGTTGCCAGAAGGGGGATGTGCCCCCTTCTGTTTGGGGGGTTTGAAGGGGGCGGAGTCCCCCTCATCGCCAAGAAAATTTTGGACTTGTGAGAGGCTTAAAATGACCCAGGTTGATCATAAGGTAACGTGTAACCAACGCTGAAAAGCCTTTGACTCTATCTCAATCCCTTGAGAAGTTGCAGCACTTTGAAGTAAATTTTGATGGAAAAAATCGAGGCAAAAATGTGATTTTTGGCAATTTTGAGATGTCCCCTCGTTGCCATGGTAACAGGAAATTTAAGACTGAGCATGTCGTTACAAAGGCAATGGTCCAGTCAACATTTGTGCCAAGTTTGATTAGTATTGAAGCATTTTTCATAGTTTCATAGCAGTTTGAACTTGTAAGAGGAGGCTTTTCAGTGAAAATGGCCATTTTTCACAATATGCTCATGGGGAAAGGGTTAACTAAAAAAAATATAAATGTTACAAAACAACAATTTTTCACCAAAATTAGGTAAAAGACCACATGTTAACATGGAAAAACTAGATTTTGAGTGATTCCAAGGTTTTTCATCATTTTTTGTTAACCTTTTCCCTTATATAAGCGTGTTTCGACGGCTTTTTGCCCCCCCCCCCTTTTTGAGGCCTCAAACAGTGAAAAAATGTCCTATTTAGACCCCAAACACTGTTTTTTCGTTTGAGAAATGTTGTTAAAAAAAGTGACCATTTTTTCGGTGCCGTCCCCCATCCAAATAATACATCAGGGGGTTGCCAGAAGGGGGATGTGCCCCCTTCTGTTTGGGGGTTTGAAGGGGGCGGAGTCCCCCTCATCGCCAAGAAAATTTTGGACTTGTGAGAGGCTTAAAATGACCCCAGGTTGATCATAAGGTAACGTGTAACCAACGCTGAAAAGCCTTTGACTCTATCTCAATCCCTTGAGAAGTTGCAGCACTTTGAAGTAAATTTTGATGGAAAAAATCGAGGCAAAAATGTGATTTTTGGCAATTTTGAGATGTCCCCTCGTTGCCATGGTAACAGGAAATTTAAGACTGAGCATGTCGTTACAAAGGCAATGGTCCAGTCAACATTTGTGCCAAGTTTGATTAGTATTGAAGCATTTTTCATAGTTTCATAGCAGTTTGAACTTGTAAGAGGAGGCTTTTCAGTGAAAATGGCCATTTTTCACAATATGCTCATGGGGGAAAGGGTTAATTAGTCCTTTTTTAAATTTCATTTTACAATACATGTCTTGAGGAATTTCATTTTGCGAATTCATAAATATAATTCAGAAAATTATATAGGAATCAAAACACATTTTCTGAACTAGAACTTTGGCTTTTGAAATATACACAAACTGACAAGTTGGAAGTGTTTTTCAAGAATGTAGGACAAAACTGCACAGCTCAAAACCCCACAAACACATTTTATAAAGTGGACAAACCCAGCTTTAACATTAGAGAGTGGAGATAACCACACACTTTCTAATTATTTATTATAAACCATACAATTCATATGATTTGGATCTTGTAAGAAAAGAACAAAACAGAGTATTTACTTAAGTTTGATATAATTACTTTAATTATTTTATGCAGTTCCTTTGATCATGATAAATAATTGTATGTCATATTTCATTTCAATATACAACAATACAATATGATTGAATGATAATAGACTGTGCAAATATTATAAACTGTTCAATCAAAATCAAAGATTAAACATTCAAAATTACAAACTGTTCTATTAAACATTCAAAATTACAAACTGTTCAATAAAAATCAAAGGGTAAACATTCATTAACCTTAATTAACATTTATTATTCTAAAAGACAACAATGTCAGTTATTTTGTTGTTAATCAAAGGACTACACGACTAATAGTAATGGAAAGGGTGGGGTTATTTCCACTCTATAAAATAAAAGGTATGGGGTTTTGGCCACTCCATAAAATTCATGTATGGTGTTTTGTCTACACTAGACAATCTTGATATGTGGGGTTTTGACGCGTGGGGTTTTGTCACACCTGCATTGATAAAGCAGGCGACGATAAGCAGGTAATTAAACATATCACCTGTTATGATTATGTTCTAATCCACATTAAAATACCCAGAAAGTTGACACCTAAATAGCTGCCAGTTTTCTGATGCTTAGAAAATAGAAGCCAAAGAAAATTGTCGGGTTTTGGAATCCAGATGTTCTGGTATTTAGAGGATATTTTTAATGAACTTTTCAGGGAAATATGGGACTTTTAAAATCATGCAGTTTTCAGATGATTCCAGTTTTTGGAGTGTCTTACTGTTCTTACTGTATCTGATCTTGATTTAACCCTTTCCCCCATGAGCATATTGTGAAAAATGGCCATTTTCACTGAAAAGCCTCCTCTTACAAGTTCAAACTGCTATGAAACTATGAAAAATGCTTCAATACTAATCAAACTTGGCACAAATGTTGACTGGACCATTGCCTTTGTAACGACATGCTCAGTCTTAAATTTCCTGTTACCATGGCAACGAGGGGACATCTCAAAATTGCCAAAAATCACTTTTTTGCCTCGATTTTTTCCATCAAAATTTACTTCAAAATGCTGCAACTTCTCAAGGGATTGAGATAGAGTCAAAGGCTTTTCAGCGTTGGTTACACGTTACCTTATGATCAACCTGGGGTCATTTTAAGCCTCTCACAAGTCCAAAATTTTCTTGGCGATGAGGGGGACTCCGCCCCCCTTCAAACCCCCCAAACAGAAGGGGGCACATCCCCCTTCTGGCAACCCCCTGATGTATTATTTGGATGGGGGACGGCGCCGAAAAAATGGTCACTTCTTTTAACAACATTTCTCAACCGAAAAAACAGTGTTTGAGGTCTAAATAGGACATTTTTTCACTGTTTGAGGCCTCAAAAAGGGGGGGGGCAAAAGCCGTCGAAACACGCTTATATAAGGGAAAAGGTTAAATAAGGAAAAGAGTGCCAATATCATAATAAACCTACCACAGACTTCAAGAAATGTCTTTTCTTGAAGATCCTCAATTTCAAGACAATATTCTCCAGCATCATCCATAGTAACATTTTTGATAGTAAGCTGATGGACCATTTCTGATGATTCTACAAGAATTCTTGTCTCCATATTTTTTATCACTTTGCCATTAAATGTCCACTTTGCTTTCTGATTTGGTTTTGAAACTATACATTTCATCTGTACATCTTTGCCTTCCTCTACTTTCTTTGTCTTTTGTAAAGATAATGTCACTGCTAAAGGCTTCTCTAAAATAAATATATATAATGTAGAGGTACATTTAATCTGAGTTATTAAATGAAACCTTTAAGACAACAATGACAGACAATCATAAATAGCACAATTAGAAACTGCAGCACAACTGATGTATAATTAAACATTGCAATTAGGTCATCATGAGCGCAGACAATGTGAGGTGTATGTACAAGTAAGAGTTTATCCACCTTCTGTAAGATTTGACCTGTCAATAAGACTGGTATCAAACTGTTATAACAATTTCAAATTCGTATTTTTGTCATATTTTACTCAGCTATTTAACATTTCATCCATAAATTCACAGTCTGTGTTCTAACCTTCTATTATAATGTCAAAACATGAATAAAGTTACAAGTGAATACATTTGGTAGTTTAAAAGATAAATTTTGCATGCAAAGCTTAAATAAATAATTTCCTAAATTCACAAACCGCCATAAATCAGTAAAATTTCATGCCAGAGTTGTGAACCTTGTATAGTGATCTCCAATTATGATCCAGAAGACATGTTTCAAGTTTTTAGTTGATACCTTCAGTCGTTTTGAAAATTTATAATGCCAGGAATTTTCTAAGCTCATAAAAGGCTTTAATTCAGTCAAAATGTGTGTCGAGTGTTAAGAGTTTTAAAATGTGACATTCACTTATGATTCCTAAGACATGTACAGAATTTCCAGTGAATACTTTCAGTAGTTTGTAGGATTGATGTTGCATCGAATGTTTTAACCAGGTAAATTCTAACTTCAAACAAGCAATTATCATAGTATTGCAAGCAATCCATAAGTCCCCTACCGGTAAGAGCCCAAGCAACATTCTGAAGGGCCATTGGCCATTCACTTATGTTTCTATTTTAAGTAAATTTGTTGAAAAAGTTCTTAAAAAGTGATCACAGTGAACAGACAGACAGACGGACTGAAGGACAGTCTAAAGTTATTTTTTAAACATCCCTGTTATCAAAATATAACATTTTAAAAGCAAAATTTTAAAAAAAAAGGAGATAACGATGTCATACATGATGTGAGTGTAACAAAGAACAATTAGTAATGAAGGTATGAAATATTGAATATTTATTTTTTGAAATTGAAGTAAATGAAAGTTAAAAGAACAAATAGGAAAAAATTAAAAGTTTAAGGAGGAGATAATTCTGGAAATATGGATGCTAGATTTATAAACCTTGTCATATTATAATGATGTGGGAGTTTTGAAGAAAATTCTATCATGATTGAAGAAGTTGGATTAAAAATTACCAATTTTCTCAAAAAAAAGTCTAAGTTCAAAAGGGGCATAATTCTGGAAATAGTCTTGCTAGAGTATTGAACACTCACAAATGTTGAGCTAATAATAAGAAACATTTATATGAAGTTTGAAGTAGATACGTTTTCAGAAAAAAAGAAGTTATTAAAAAAAAACAATGTTTTTTTTTCATGAAAATTTTAAGTTCAAGGGAGGTAATTCTGATAAATTTTGTGCTAGAGTTGTAAACTTTTCACATATGATGTGGTTGATGACTAGCAACTTATTTTTAAAGTTTGAAGAAAATACCTTAAGAAATAAAGAACTTATAGTGAAAAAACTTAAAAAAAACTAGAATCAGAAATCTTGAAAATTCAGTCTATTTGTTGCCATAGCAACAAAAATTTTCAACACAGGAAGATAAGAAAAGGATGTGTGCAATAATTTCCATACTGCCATCTACCCATATGTCAAGTTTCATAAAAATATTTTCAATACTTTTTAACGTTATCACTGGATCCAGGTTATGTGTAAAATCTGCCATATTTTCAGTCTATTTGTTGCCATAGCAACCAGAATTTTCAACATAGGAAGAAAAGAAAAAGACGTGCATAATCTCCATACTGCCATCTATCCATATACCAAGTTTCATTAAAATATTTTCAGTACTTTTTGTGTTATCGCGGGATCCAGTTTTGTGGACAGACGGACTGACGGACGGACTGACGGACGGACGCAGGGGAAAACCTAAAGTCCCCTCCGGTAAACCGGTAGGGGACTAAAAAGGACCATAATTATGTAAAAATCAATTTTAGAGATACAGGCCTTGGAGAGTGACACCTATTATGATCTCAAAGACATGTATGAAGTAACAAGCAATTATCTTAAATCGTTCTTGAGATATGATTCTGAAAAAGAAGTTGAGCATAAAACTTAAAAGCAAGTGATACATAAACGCTCACACTGTCACCTAAGTAAGAAAAGACAAAGTATTCTTTTTATTGCTGAACTAATTTTCTAACAGTGCTTTGAAAATGAACTGACCTAAAATTGTGACCTTTGATGTTGAACTCAGACTTTCAATTTTAACTGTGTACACTCCGGAGTCTTGTAGGTAAACATTTTGTATCTCAAGGATATGGCTGAGACCTTCTGATGTCTGTGTGATTCTTTTATTCTGTTCCAGTGGCTTCCCATCTTTGTACCATGTGGGTACTGTGTGTAGTTTGTTCATAGAACATCTTAGATTTAGATTTAAGCCTTCCTTTAGACTGTCCTCCATAACTAATTCTTGTTGAAAAGCTAGTGGAACATCTAAATTTTGCAAAGCAATGGCAATAAAATTATTATTTCAAATACTGATAAACATATATCTTATTGGGCATGGTGACCTTGATTTTTTACCTAAAAATCAAGAGTCATCTAGATACTTAGCCAACTGCCATGAACCACATGAACTTTTGTCTTACATATGACCACTTTAAATTCCCCCGATCAATTCCTCAATATATCTTTAATGTATTTAGCCATTTTTAAGTCATTTCTTTGTTTAAGCATCTTTAAAGGTTATCAGAGTGTTATAATGAACAAACATTTATATAAATGTAAATGAAAAATTTCCCCACTACAAAGGAAAGATATCATGAATAATTTTGACCCTTTCCCATGCTTTGTTTGTTCTAAGCCACTTCCCATCTGCATGCAGTCACTTAATAGTGTTTGACTTTAATTCCCAGTACAGATATACATGCAACTAATGATGATAATCATAATGAAACAATGGAACAATTATTTTATTTTCTGTTGTTGAAGATACAAATGTCTCTTTTTCTATAAAAAACAGACAAACGTCTCTTTTTCTATAAAACAAAGAATAAAATCCATTGTTTCCCTTTGTTCTGCTGACTACCATTCTGATAGACTGCCTAATAATGATGTCAATATATAATTTAAAATCAGTAAAGCTAAACAACCTATCAAATATGTTAACACACAATGATGATAAAAAGATATTCACAAACTTTTAATACCTTTAACTGTGACCTTTGATGTTAACTCCAGATTTTCAATTTTAACTCTGTACTCTCCAGCATCTGATTGGGAAACATTTTGTATCTCAAGGATATGTGTTAAATCTTTTGATATCTGTGTGATTCTCTCATTCTGTTCCAGCCGCTTTTCATCTTTGTACCACATGGCTTTCATGTCTTGTTTGTTCACTGTGCATTTCAGTTTTAGAATTGAGCCTTCATTACATTTTTTAACTGAGACCAATCCTTTAGTAAATTCAAGGGGATTTCCTTAAAATGGCAAAGAAAAGAGAAGTAAAAGAAGTATATATTCAATACAACAAGAGCGATCAGTAATCACATGTGTCGCCTCATGATGGCCAATTTCATGTTGGCACAAATTTTGTGACAGACGGACAGTGCACAACTAGACTTGGTTCTGATCATTCCTGTAAAGTTTGGATAAAACTGCACCAATAGTTTATGAGGAGTAGTCCAGACAAGCTTTTGTGTATCTGGCAACACACAGAAAAAAACACCTTTTTATCAAAGGGCCAAAACTTGGCCAAAAATCATTCAACCAGAAAACCCGTGCAATATGCGCAAGGACTTGAGCTACAGATCAATCCTGTAAAGTTTCATTGAAATTGCATTAGTGGTTTAAGAGAAGTAGTCCAGACAACCTTTAAAAATAAAAATTATTAAAGGGCCATAACTCTGACAAAAATCATTGAAGTGGAAAATGCTGAGAATATGCACAACTAGACTTGGTACTGATCATTCCTGTAAAGTTTGGATGAAATTGCACCAGTAGTTTATGAGGAGTAGTCCGGACAAGCTTTTGCGTATCTGGTAACACACAGAAAAAAACACCTTTTTATCAAAGGGCCATAACTCGGCCAAAAATCATTTAACCGGAAAACCCGTGCAATATGCGCAAGGACTTGAGCTACAGATCAATCCTGTAAAGTTTCATTGAAATTGCATTAGTGGTATAAGAGAAGTAGTCCGGACAAACTATAAAATTAAAAATTATTAAAGGGCCATAACTCTGACAAAAATCATTGAACCGGGAAATGCTGACAATATGCACAACTAGACTTGGTACTGATCATTCTTGTAAAGTTTGGATGAAATCGCACCAGTAGTTTATGAGGAGTAGTCCGGACAAGTTTTGTGATGGACGGACAGACAGACAGATGGACAGACAGACGACGGAGAAGTGATCCCTATATGTCGCCACTACTCCGTAGAGGCGACACAAAAAAGGATATATCAAACTATATATTGCGTAAAACTTAGAAGTAACTATTAACATCACTAAAATGTAAAATGTAACTACAACAGTATTTAAATGACAGTGTTGCATTAAATACCAGTATTTCAAAGCTCACAAAAAAAATAGTGCAATTTTGAAGATATTGTACACAACTGATCTTTTTCAATTACTTTAACAACAAAATGCTGATATTATCATCAAATCTCAGATTACTCAAAAGCAACAGCTCCTACCCAAAATTTCTTTTCTCTTAAATCTTTGTTATCATATTCTAACAACATGCATAGTTTAAAGAACTTCTATTGAAGAGTTTTAATTTAGCCTATATGTCTCTATGAAAACTCTCAAAAACGTCTGTAAACTGTCTTAGGTCAATGTTACTAATGTCATAGATTTTTTTTATCCTTTCAACTTTTTACTTTGCTCTATCTTTCAATTTTCTTGACACAAATATTTTTTTTACATTTTATTGGTTTTAAACAGTGAGATGTCAATTCATACTTATTTGTTAAACTTCTGTATTGAAATAGGAGATTATATTACATGAAATTTAACATTTGAACTTAACTAATACCTACCTGTAGAATCTTCAAATTCATTGTCATAAACCTCCTCATCACTGTCATCTGCTAAGAAAATTAAAATGAAGTTTTTACCATAAAAACATCTTTAAATATATAACGAAGTTTTGGCCAATGGTAGCAAATTCAATAACTTGACCTTTAATGACAAGGTCAAATTAAAATTTGATCTTTAAAGGCCAATCATTTATAAGTCAGGTCAAACTCTGTTTCATTTTCTTTAAGATATTGTTCTTTATGAAGTTTGCTCAAGTACAAAGACAATCTATTAATTAAAAAAAAATTATAGCCAATTATAGCAAAATCAAGCAATTCACTAATTTGACCTTCAAGGCCAAGGTCATTAATAAGTGAAAGATCAAAAAAATTTTGGTTTTCCCTTGAAATTTTTTTGTTCAAAAGTTTTTTGTGCCCAAAATTTTTGAAGAAAAATCCATTTATCATTTAAAAAAGAAAGAGCATTTTTCATGCCCCATAAAATAAAACAAAAAACCAAAGATCTTTTCCCAAGTCCATTTTGAAAAATAAACAACTAATACAAAAGAAAATTTTTATGAAGAAACAAAAGGGTTTTGGATGTTACAGTTAAAACGTCTACATTTCACCCCCACCTTGATAAACCTTCTTTTCCCCATGATCTTTCTGTTGCGCCTTTTTTCCATCCCTCATCTTTTTTGATGAAAGTGAAGGCATTTTCTCTTTATTACCTCCTGAAATTAGATCATTGAAAATTAAATTTATCATTACATATAAAATAAATATATGAACATTTCTTAATATTGAACAGTTATCATACAAGGGGAATATTTCATTATAATAAGTGTGCTTTTCAACATCTTACCATGATCATTAAATACCTTAAGTTTTATGTTGATACAGTGGAGCCTTGCTAATCCGAACCCTTCTAATCCGGAATCCTTTCTTATCCGAACGAAGTGTCCGGTCCCGATTTTATTCATTCTATTTTCAATAGTAAAAAAACCTTTCGGATCCGGAACCTGTCTACTCCGAATTCCGGACGATTTTTTCAATTTTTGTTCTTTTTTACTCTAGAATTAACCTCTGGGATCCGAACAGATTTTGCCAAATGTCACACCTACATTCAAAATAACAAAAAATCGCACATCTTGCAGATGTAAACAACACCAAATTGTTATATAATGGGTGAAACGTATGATCTGCGAAGGTGTGAAAATTACACTTAGCTTGCCTTGATATCTACTATAATTGCTTAATTGATTGTTTTTTGTCACCTTCAATAAATATTTTGATATAATGCAAAAGAAGTATCTTTTTATCTTCTGTAATAGATTTAATGACATGTGATTAAGTAATGAAAATTAATGGAAACTGTCAGTGAATTCGGATAATCACTGAAGCGGATAAGAGTAAACAACAATTGACAAATGCTGGTACAAATATTTAATCATGTTTAAGCCTACTGTTTAACATCGTAGATTAACTTACCCTTGAGGATATAGCATTTTTGCTTATTTATCTATTTTTATTTATCTATTTATTTTTGTATGCACATGTATTGAAATGAACGATAAGAGATTGCAAAAAAAAATAATTTTATTGCAATTTCAAATGCATTCCCGTTTTCTTTCCTTAAACTGATCTGCCAATAACATGAAACAAAACATGTAAAAAACCTTTCCTCC